CTAACCTACAAAAACACTTGCAGTCCCTTCTTTTTATTCTTGCCCTTACGCCAACAAAGCATAGAGGAGGAAGGAAGAGGATGGAAGAGGTTAGGGTCGGCATCGTTTGATACTAAATCATCATCCCAATAGATGTAATGAACATATTATATTCTAGCATTCATTTGACCTTATCTTTAATGACCAGCAAGGGTTGATTAAAAATAACATAATATTACAAGGTCATGGTAGTAGTAGGTTGAAAAGGATGAAAGAAATACTTCATGTTAATAGCTAGATATTTCTTTTATTAAATATGATCTTAGGACCAGAAACCTGGTATTTACGTGCACACTTCAATGCGCGTTGATGTCTTTTATATGAAAAAGTTGTTGTTAGAGATAAGACGATTTCTACATTATTACTTATAAACTACTTACTTTTTTTTAAATTACTTATAAATTACTTACATATTCTTTTTCCAATCGATACATTCATCGCGGTTAATTTCTTTACTGAAATGATTCTTGACTTGGTGGTTATCCGGAAGAGATCGCTCTGAGTAATAAGACCGCCCATTCTACTTTTGTGTCTGTTTTACATTTTTTTATTGCTTAGATCTCGTCACCCGAGTTCACGGCCCACTTGATATTAAATGGATACCGGAGTCCATGGACATCTACAATGTAAATGCCGCCACCCACCTTGAGACATGAGTTGTAAGGTCTCACTTTTAACAGTACGACAGTTGCCCCGACCTTCAAACCGAAACGCATTACTGCTTCACGGCAGAAATAGGCAGGGTGGTGGCACCTACCCGTGTGGACTCACAAGACGTCCTACCACCAGTAATTACACAAATAATAATTTTGCGGGCTTGATTTTTATTATACGATGTTATTCCTTCACCGGACTTCTCCAATGCTTCCTTCTGCAAGATTATGGACTCACAGAAGTCAAACACCGCCTCCTACGAAGCGTTGCTCACAAGGCTTGCGATTATGATAAGTTGAGTTTACTTATTAAAATGTACAAGGGGAAACAGAGAAGATGCATTCCACCGTTTGACGCAAGCTGTCACTTTAATACAATAGGTACTGCAACTCATAACAAATAAGTCGTGAGCTTATTTGCCAGACTACTCTACTTGAACAAATAAAGACGAATATTTTAGAAATTTTGAAGAAGATGATAACCGTAAATTAACATTTATTGTTTCCTAAAAACAAAGCTAATTTGTTACACACAAAACGAGTGTAAATTGAATTATTCTATCCGTTAAATAATATTAAAGCGGAAAGCGTCACTATTTAAAGAGGCACTGTGTATTAGTCAACGTCATCGTCCGTCATGCTTATTCGATACGTTTGCCTTTTGTCACGAGTTGTTATGTCAAAAGTTTTGTTAATGAGCACAACAGTAGGGATGTGGTCTCAAACTTTTATATTTTACTTCAAATACTTAAAAAATCTTAATACAAATCTGAATTAAATATTTACACAATAAATTTATTTGCAAGGCTATTCAGAAATTAGTAACTTAAATTCCTTTAAAATATGGTGATCGAGATAAAAATGTTGCATTGCATAGGAATAGTGAAGTCATCTCGTACTCTTTTTTTATTGTCTTTGTAGGCAGACGAGCATACGGACCATTTGATGGTGATTGGTCACCGTCGCCCATGGACTTCAACAACAATTATTGAAGCCAAACCACTGCCTACCGTTAAGTTCTTTCCACTAGCCTAGTTTCAAGAAATACATAGCGCTCGGGAAACACTGTGTAGTGAGCTCATTCCAAAGTCGATGAAAAACGAGATGATGGGATCATCTCAACCGATTACTCAGAGCACTCCCCATGGAACATACGATACAAAATCACAGAGAGAAGCGAAGTCCCTCTACAGGTTCCAAACGACAATACCAGCTACTTCCATTTGTCGATAATCCCATTCTCACGTGTCGTACTCATGAAAAACTCTTCTTCTTCACCCGTATTTAAAATTTTAATAGCCCTGACATGACCTTAATACTGTAATACACAAAGCGATTGCTTCTGTTGTTTTGAATTGGAAAATCAATTAGAAAAGCTACAAATTTATTAATTTTATTAAGTGTACATGTTATTAATTTTTGCGTAAATAATACAATAATAACTTTTTAACTATAATACTGCAGGCGATTTAATAGAGACCGCTTAAGCTTTACTAGACTTAGAAGTAACGCTTGAGTTGCTGCTTACATACTATGTATATCAAACCTATTGACAATGTATGTAAAAGCAACGAATGTTGATTCATAAATTTGTTTTACAGTTTTAGTTACAGTTATTATAATACTGTTGTTATGGTTGCTTTCAATTTACAATCATATTTTCGTTTTGTATAGAATTATAGTCATTAAGCCATTTCTGGTGCAGTAATATTATAATTTTATTTAATTAAGGAATCTCTTGGTACAATGCTAAGTTTAGTGTTTACTTTTAGTTTTGTAACGTCTGTTTGTGTTCTAAACAACAATGAAATTAACTCCGGTGCTGTATCTATAAAAATAGGTATTCATTGCAGACGTAACAGCATAAAATCTACAAAATGAAACATACGAAACAGCGCTATTGTTTAGGAGAATGACGATTAGGCGAAACAAAACGACAGCATTAGAATATACATAAAAATAAAAGTAATAGACACATTTTTAGATGTAGATATTTAGTTACAGTATACATTTAGTACATTAATATAATGTAATTTGTTTTATTACTAAGAGTTCACAATTTACTTGGTGCTCTGTAATTATTTAATCACCTCGAAACATGATGTCGAAGACTGAATTGCTTTGTTAATTTATTTTGCTTACCGTTTTTGATATCAACAAATAATTAGAAAATTGAAATTAAAATGCATAGTTTAAATTTGTTTAACAGATTAAGATATTTTATATTACATTGAAGTCTATTTGTTTTATATGTACATAATTATCATATATCATTAAAAAAAATTTTTAATGGAAAACAAACCCTAACTCGATGGTGGAGTGCCAGTCACTAACTAATAAATGAATTTGACGAGCAGGTATGTGATTAAAGTGTTAAAGGAAAAAAGCCATTATAGACATCGCTTACGTACATACATGATAATTGTCATGTAATAGTAGAACTCATCATGATACGACAGTGATACTACTGCGTAATTACTGGTGGTAGAGGACCTCTTGTGAGTCCGCGCGGGTGGGTACCACCACCCTGCCTATTTCTGCCGTGAAGCAGTAATGCGTTTCGGCTTGAAGGGTGGGGCAGCCGTTGTAACTATACTTGAGACCTTAGAACTTGTATCTCAAGGTGGGTGGCGCATTTACGTTGTGAATGTCTAAGCAAAAAAAAAAAACAGAACAAAATCCTCGCACTATTAATGAATTATTATTCGGTTCAAATGTAATGCGAGGCACAAAAAGAGGCCGCTGGTATTGTCTGATTTTGTTAAAAATGTGCTTGTCGGATTCAGTTACGGCAAACATTATATTGCGATGAGCGCTGACACCGCCTAGAACGTTCAATGTGTCAATCAAAACAAATGGCGCAACGGAAATAATAGATGCTAAATGACATTCAACACCCACGTTGACTACAGATCAGTGAACTATTTAAATAACTTCAAATAGGCGGGAACACTGAACCCAATACTATATACATACATATGTGAAGAAATATTGCGAATCTATGTACAGGCCTATGGTTCGGTATTAAGCATTCGGTAAATACACATATAATAAATGAGGAGGTTTATGACGTCTTATTGTATAGTTGACTTTTTCGGCACCATATTTCGTAGGACGTGAGTTTGGGTTCTGTAGACTATCATTGTTCATCACTCATCTTTTTAATTAATCCTACCTATGCTGATAGCCTTGAGAGGCTATATCAGCTTCGCCCTAACATGTAGGTGAGCTCACGGGGCTCAAACTGGAGTGATGCTAGCACTGGCCCTAGCTAGAGCAGTGCTTCGCAGAATCTAGCTCCGGATCGGAAACGCGACCCACTGAGAAGATACGGCGAGAAACTCAGTGGGCTGTGTCTGTGGGTTAATTCGCTCGTTGAGCCCTCCATCGCAAACGACCGGTGCCTGTGCTACCTAAAAGTACCGTTATTGGATCAGGAGGATCCGTAATGACATGTTTAGGGCGACGTCGACTGTTTACCATTCGGTCTACAGGATCGGGTATGTAATTTCCAGCGGCTACGACAAGAGGGTTCTCATGTCGTGCCGCCTTCTCGAAGTGGCGCAATGATGCCGACTGTAGATACTTATTGACTGATCACTCAACAATTGGTCGTAGACGGAGGTGATCAGGAAGCATTGTGCGGATACCGACTATGCAACTAATATTTCCTTCAAATAATTTTTATTATGTGTTAATTAAACAGCTTTAAAACGGTCAACATTCATCCGGTATTTTCTATTAGTCCACAGATTATATCTGTAGTTGTCTCAAGTAAGGTTTATAGGTATGTAAACGTTTTGTGTCCTTAGAAGTTTTTAAGAAAATTTAGATATCTTCAGGACGTAATTATATATGTGTTACTGAATGATACGATACTTCAAATATATAATGTAATATATAATAAAGATAATAAATACTTCAAGTACGAGCATCATATAAACAATGCATTAAAAATCACATAGACTTCACTAAAGACAGGTTAAGGGATATAAAACGCAAACCTGAATAAAATCCGGGTAATGCATTTTTTTTTTGGCAAACTGAAACTGTTTTCTGGTGTGAAGAGGTTATTAGATCTCAGTGATACAATAAACTAGATTACAGCCTGTAAATTCGAATCAAGAACAGTTAACGATCATGTAAATTCCACATTTCATTAATACTCGGTATGAATTGTTGTGACAACAGCGTCCTCAGTATCGGATGTAGTGTTTTACACAATCAGTTGTTTTGGCTTCGTGTCTCTGATGTCTCCACAGTCCACACGCGCAGTCCACGTAGAATCCGCACGCTGGGTACACGCGCTCTCGCGACCAATTCGTTGACGATTTACTTGTAAAGGAACTGTGCTCAGAGTGTGCATTGGACACTGCTGTCATGATGTGCCCAGTGAGTATATTAAACTTTATGACAAAAACTTTATTTAGATATTTAAAATTACTCTTTAGTAAGCAGGTACTGTGTTTAGTTTGTTTTACCGTTAGTAACTTTTTCGTGATTTTTGTATCTTCCAAAATATATGCATACGTTAAAATCTTTAAAATAAAATAATTTTTTTATCGTATTTAATAATTAATTAGTACTTTCTGGAAATTTGCGTATTGTAGAGGTATATATGTATAACAACAATAATATTTTAAATATTGTTTCCTGGAATATATACAAAACGTATTTAATACTTGAACGACAATGTAACCTTTCATTTTTAATTATTATAACAATATAGTATTATTCCATAATATTATAAGTATTCTTAATAAACTCGCAAACGTTATCGAACGCTTTAAAGGACTTAACAAGTGATTTTAATGTTATTGCATTTTTTCAAAAATAATAATTATTATTGATTATAATAAAAAATAGAGTTCGTAAAAATTAGTCAAACAAACTACACAATTAATTCCCGTCAATACTATATTGGAGATGGGATACTATAATTGATAATAATCTATTATCTTAAATGTTTTAAAATTTAAATTCACTTTCCCCGAATGATGTAATGAATGCGTGATGGAGCGATTCTCGTTTATTATGAAGCCTCGGAAGAGAATGACGACTATTAAGGATTCTTCATATGTTGCCGAACACGTGTGCCGACTGCGCTCTCCGGCATCGGAGAAATTGAATCACTTCACGTAACATCCAGTTTCATAGTCTAGACTTTGTGCATTTATACAATGACTGGTCATATTATTTTGTTTGTTTTTATGTTGTTTAGTCAGACATAAACGATTTCGTATCGTAGTTATCTTCGTATTTAGCCCTGATTTAAGCAGTTGTAGGTTCAAGACTAGGACCACTTTTTACTTGCTAAAATGAGTTCACCTTATATTTAGCCGACGAGTTTCAACTCATCATCACATTGAAAGCTCAAATACTGTAGTACTACCACCACACTTCAGACCAAACAGCTTTATTGTTTCGTGAAAAGTATACCTTATTCACCCAGATTAACTACCGAAATACCCTACCACTGATACTTAAGATATACAAATCAATCTACTGCATCTTTTAATGAATAGTTTAGGCTAGACTTTTAAGATCTTTCAACCGAAACAACAAACCAAATTAAGATTTAATGATGGAGTCTGCTAGCTATGCTGGCATAATTAAAACAGCCTACTAGTCTAAAATCACTTAAAATAATTATTTTAATACAATTGAACTAAAAAAAAAAACTTGTCCTTGCGTAGCCCGAAATTATGTTTGTGACTTATATTGTATTTAAGTGTACACAGAGGTGTAGTGCATTGTTCCTTTAACCCGGCGTCATGGGGGTGGAAAATGACTACACGGACGTGGGGGTGGGTCATATCTACCCGATATTTTGACTTAAGATATTCCAATAATATTAAAATAAATAATTAATTATTTTATGGTAATGATTTTATTTAATGATGAGGAAGTCTCTGCTGACTTAATTACTACAATCTACTAGTCTAAAATCACTTAAAATAATACTTTTAATACAACTGAACTAAAAAAAAGAAACCTATTCTTGCGTAGCCAGAAATTATGTTTGTGAATTATATTGTATTTAACTGTACACAAAGGTGTAGCGCATTAAACCTTTTGCTAAGAGATAAGAATATCTTCTGTAGAAGAACTTACGCAATAACGAAACTTTAAAATATTTTTACCGAAATCGAGGACGTATCTTGATGACAAAAAAACTCAGACGAAATTTTCGACTAAAAACTTATAATAAAAATAAATAAATCCTTTGCTCAACAAGGCCTGCTGACTTAAATGGTGTCAGTCATTAAACTAGAGAGTTAAGCTATTAGTTTTGATTATGCAACCAGTTTCCACGGTATCGTCCAATAAACAGTAGATCAAATACAATTTGATTGAAAAAGTTATACAACGGTGTCATAAACAACATTCTGGTTTGTATCGTAAAAGAAATGATATAGATATTAGAAATTTATAAAAAAGAATTAGATATTAGGAACGTAAATATAGCTGTATTAAAATCATTGGGTATGCAAAATTAATGATATCGCTTACCGAAAATATTTTAAGAAAGTAGATTAAAATCTCAATTGTAATGGAATAATTTCTATGGCGTCCTATAAACTGGAGCGTATTATATAATCGTTACATCGTTATACCAAAATTTTATTTATTACAAAAAAATCTTATATTTGGAGTAATGGATCTTTTGACCGATCAATGTATTAATTGAAACAAAGCTTTGAAAACATATTTATTTATTTATTGCTTAGATGGGTGGACGAGCTCACATCCCACCTGGTGTTAAGTGGTTACTGGAGCCCATAGACATCTACAACGTAAATACGCCACCCACCTTGAGATAAGTTCTAGGTCTCAGTATAGTTACATTGTGTTGTAAGCTGTTTTAGCGAATCGATAATGTAAAAAGAGTGCACATAGGTTAATTAATCAATGCGAATAAGATCATGTATCCTTTTTAATATTATCTGAAAAGAAAACGTGACAACGTACACAATATAATCACCTAGTTGCTGTAAGTGATTGACGAGCTCAGGGGAGACCAGTAACGATATTGCAACAATTGGGCTACAATGCAATGAGGCCATTAATTACGCACTGTAGATTATAATCTTATAAGACGATTCATTATAATAGCGACTCATAGAAAACTTATCGTTTGAAATAATTTATTTACTTCACTTTATTTGTAGCTTACTTTAATGTTTCATTACAGTTTATTATTATACTATAGAGCAACAAATCTAGATCAGGATAAAATCTATTAATTATTTTCAATTTGAGATCATAGTTTTAAACAATGTGCCGCTTGCTACTTGTTACTAAGTAAAATGAGGTTTTTAATAGTAAAATTTACCGTAGTTGTATAGATTAAATCTTACAGTCAGTTGAGTCAGTGCCAAAGTTTTCTGACCGTGGGACAGTGAAAGCTTCCATAGATTACAATTTATAAACATATTTTTCTCACGATCTTTCACTCATGATAACGCTGTAATTCAAACATAATTTCTAAAATGTAATTTTACAAAACTTTGTAATTAAATCTACTCTATTCACAAAAAAATATAGTTTTCTCTCACTATACATTTGTTCAAAGAAAACCCGTTATCCATCGCTACGTAATATCAATTAATATCCGTTCGACCCGTGTTTGAATTATTTCCAAAGAGTACTGAGGTCAGTTAGAGATCTGATACGGTGGTCAAATAAATATTGTTATGTACTTAATAATATATTCCAAACACTGGAAAACATCTTAACATAATTATTTCAAAACGAGACCGATTGACCTGCATAATATGCATACTAAATTGTGAAAAAAAATTACATAATTAGATCATATTAAAACTCACTAAAAATGAAATGTATTTCCCACATTTCTGCCGATCTGTGTCTTTAATTACATGTGTTGGGTTTTGAGTGATGAATGATAACAATCTAAAATATTTAATACGACTACAAAAGCAATCAAATAGTATTGTTTGATAAATGATATTTTGTATACCCTGGAGGCACAAGATTCTTAATATTGGATCATCTCATTTTGGGATCAAGTTACGTGACCTTTATGTGGAAACAGAAAGCATCTTGTCATCAATTATTTGATCACGATATTTTATTTTAATTATTATATAATTAAAAACTTTTAAAACTTTAAAAATAAATTCAGAGGGAGCTCTATTATAAGTATCATTTTAAAACGTTTAAAACATTCAAAGAACATTAAAATTGGAAAATCAAAAATCTGTTACCTTCTCAGCAGCGCAGCTCAGCAGAAAGCAACGCATGACCGATCGTTGTGGCTAAGCTTGGGAGAGACCTATATCCAGTAGTGGACGTCTGTGGGCTGAAAGATAATACACATCACATCTTTCCACCTTCAAAGTATGCTTCTTTAGAAATGATATATTAATGAATAACCCGATAATCTAAACATTTCCTTAACGCTTTTTCGGAAATTGAGGTCAGTTCTCGCCATAAATTCTCCTTTATGTCCTCTACCGAATGAAAACTGGTGCCACGCAGTGGTAATTTGAGCTTAAGAAAAAGAAAGAAGTCGACTGTAGAGTCGTTAGAACTAGTAACCTACCTCGGGACGCTGAATGAATGAGGTTAGAATAAATATTTCAATTATATCAGGATCTGCTTGTTTAATAAAAGCTAGAAAAATGAAAAATGAAAACTTATCGAAACACTATGTTTTGTGTGGTACATTATCACAATAGAAATCGGTAAGAGCGGTGTAAACATTATTTTTATCACTGTATCTTATAAACGGTCATACTATGGACGTAAGTACATACAATGATGTTTCGACGCCTACCGAACATGTGTGCAGTTCATGTAATTTATGAACAACGACTTTGTTTGATAATCTTTAGGAAGTAAAAGATTTTCCGATAATCTGGCTTGCGTTCCGCCTTTTATGGTATACTCAGCTATCAGATTGTGGTACATTTTTGTTCCTCAAAGAAAATATGTCTTGTAATGATATTTAGAAATGGGTAGGTAATTTATTTATTTAATAATTAAGTTGCACCAACAAAATGATCATCAATACAAAACAGTGACAAACTGACAAAAGTTCATGGGAGATGTCACCTCAATTATAGGTGCAATCGACAGTGCATTAACAACAAAAATAATTTGATTACATTTGACTGATTGCTTAAGATTAATTTATATTTATTATAATATTTAATATAATAATAACAATTTTAACTAATCATTTGGAACGAAATACATACGTGGGAATAAATAAGGTTAACAGTTTCAAGAAATTGTTATAACTATTATAATATACTTTTTGAGCAGCCAATTCCTTATCCATGACATCCACGATAATTTGTGAAACTATTAAAAAATTAGCAAATTCAATTCAAATAAATATATTGAATTATTTTCAACAAAAT